AACGTCATTCTTCTAAACGTTGTAACAGACATTTTGCTATTTCTTATGTAGACATCACATCAGGGAGTTATCTGTATACGTCACAAAGCTTTGGTGGATTTAAAACGTTGTTCTTCTAAACGTTGTAACAGAAATTTCGCTATTTCTTATACAGACATCACATCAGGGAGTTATCGGTTTACGTCATAAAGCTTTGGTGGATTTAAAACGTCATTCTTCTAAACGTTGTAACAGACATTTTGCTATTTCTTATACAGACATCTCATCAGGGAGTTATCGGTCTACGTCACAAAGCTTTGGTGGATTTAAAACGTCATTCTTCTAAACGTTGTAACAGACATTTTGCTATTTCTTATACAGACATCACATCAGGGAGTTATCGGTCTACGTCACAAAGCTTTGGTGGATTTAAAACGTCATTCTTCTAAACGTTGTAACAGACATTTTGCTATTTCTTTTACAAACATCACATCGGTCTACGTCATGGCTATGTGGAGCTGTACAGATAAGAATTGTTTTTTTGTGTGTGTGTGTGTTGTTTTTAATATTTCTCAAGTCTAATGTATCCTGGTGTAAGTTAAATTACATTTCTTGTCACAAATTATTTTTTAATTATTATAATTTCGCTATTGAATGAGATAAACCCTAACGACTGCAGATTTACAGATTTAAAATGGAATTCCAGTAAAACACACATTTCTTATCATCGGGTAAATAGAGCAGAAGCTGTAAGAACGTTTACAAATGCCTATCTCACCTATATATCTGATTAAATGTTCGATAGCGTAGTTTGTAACATGATAATTTTGCAAGGTGTTTAAGTAAATAAATGGCAGTCAATAGCGTGGTTTGGAAAATCACAAAAGTAGTGGTAATGCAACTTATCAAGTAGGTTGTTTACATAGTACCCGACAGTTTCGAGTTTTATTTGTATTCAATGAAATGAATTTGGACTGAAGTCCTACTGAAAAATGAGAAGTACAACTTTTCATCTGGTGCGAATTTTCTCAGCGGAAAATTCCAGGTTTTGACAGAACAAAATCCAGTGTTTCCAGCCTCCAAAGCTCTGTTTAACTATCACATTTTAGTTGTTGTTATTTAAATAGTTGTTCGGTTGCTTCAATTGTCGTAACATGGTGTCTAAATCAATATCAAAATTGACTTATTTTGTTCGACAGTGACGTCACACTGAAAATATTATTATGACTAACATGCGCACCAGTACAAAAAATCTTATTTTGTCCACCAGGTGTACCACAAAAAACATTTGATTTTGGTTAACATGAGTATCAGTGCAAACATTTGATTTTGGTCAACATGAATATCATGGCAAACATTTGATTTTGGTCAACATGAATAAGAGCATCAATTTTGGATCGTTTCACTAGGAGTACCACAAAAAACATTTGATTTTGGCCAACATGAGTATCAGTGTAACATTTGATTTTGGTCAACATGAGTAATAGCATCAATATTTAATCGTTTCACTAGGAGTACCACAAAAAATCTTTGATTTTGGTTAACATGAGTATCAGTGCAAACATTTGATTTTGGTCAACATGAATA